GTCGCATCGCCTCTAGTGTAGTGAACGGCCAATCTTGCGCACTTCTCTATCTCCTCACGCACGCAGTGAGGAACGAGCAGCAGGCCAGGTGAGTGGCGCTCTGGTGCATCGTCTCTACTGTAGTAATCGGCCAACGCTAAACCCGGTCCATTGCCGGCAGTCTGGCCTGAATTCTTACATTTGAGAAGCTCTGGTGTAGAGTGTTTTCGTATATGGAGCAACAGATTGAACACATAGAAAATACAGATGTCCAGACTTAACTTCACAAAATGATTACACCGTATCTGATGACGAACAAGTGCTTTGACTAATACTGAATCTATCTCAGAGAACACTATGTTCTTCCTGTACTGATATTAGTAATAATGTAAACATTCTTTCCCAGTACTGAAATGCTCTGCCCCAAGTTCGAATTAGGATTGAATTTAGGCTGTGTCAATCTAACACAACCATTATAGTACAATCACATCAAACCAACGGAATATTTAATAGGTAAGCATTTATTACTAATCTCTTACCCAAAAATTGAAATATTACTCTCGCCGTTTATGACATAAATATTGTTAAGAACTGCTTAGTTATGCAACCACGCACGACATTCAAGTTATAAAATTAACTGTAAGAACGGGTTAACGAACGGAACAACTAATATTTATTAATAATTAAACACACTTTCAATACTAATTGATTACTCCAAAGAGAAAAATATTACAGTTGCCCATGTATTAAATATATAATGTTAAAAACTGAATCATAGTTATTCAACAATGCCAGAATTTCAAGTGTGATTATAGGGAGAACCAACTAGCACGATCAAATACGAACGGTGACAATCAAATGGAACCAAATAAATAATTAAGGTTTCATAATCATATCCGACAGTAGACCTCCCAATTGACCCCTTGAGCAGCACTGGCCGCCTTCAAAAGTACATCCACCTACAGGGGTGACCCTGTGTTGAATTTCTGGTGTAGATAATAAATGTTGTGTTGAGTTGTTGAATGCTGGTGAAGTAAATTAAATTAAATTATTCACTACTCAATGAATAATCTATTTATTTAACAGAAGAATATTTTTTAATAATTGCAACATATTTTTTAGTTGGAATGCATGTTGAATTTTATTACCATTAAATTATTATTAGCCATTTATACAAAATGTTTACAATTAAAATTAAATAGGAACTTTATTTTCGCACCTATTTTCGTTTGACACTTTACACCAGGTTTAACTCTTACACTGAATGTAACTATAGTGAAAATCTCTCTCAACATACTAAAACCATTCTAGGTTTTGATTATTAAATTAATGCAGTCAGAATAATTAATTACTTATAACTAATGTTAAAACTGAATTAATAGAAATGCATTAATAAGTAATATTCACAATTATCAGGTATTTTTCAACAAAAAAATCTCAAATTTAAATTTCATAAAATTATTCATAATAAATCAATTGAATGTAGTAATGCGATTTAAATAAAGTATTAATGAAATGAACATATATGTATTGAATGAATATTACGATACATTAAAACAAACAAACTTTCAGATATATTCACTGTTCTACACTATTCACTGTTGTAATGTGAACTACGTAAAGTAGTAATGAAAAGCCCATCTAATTATTGAATGTAAATAAAAATATATTGAATACAAACATTCTTTCAGAAACAGTTATTGTTTTTCGTTCTATCAAATCTCAAACTTGAATTACATGAAATAGTATATAATGAATGAATTGGAAGATGTATTGATAATTACATAAAGTAGTAATAAAAAGTACATTTCCTTATTGACTTAATATTACAATACATTAAATACACACAAGCTTTCAGATACATTCACTCTTTTTCCTTCAGTCAATTTCCCTGACCTCATCAGATCAAATTACAATGGGAAATACACCGTAATAAAACCACTGTAGAATGATGCAATTTTGCTACACTAGAAATTAACTAGGCACAGGACTTCCCCGTACGGAATAGACTTTCCCGTATTAGTTTTCTACTTCCTTTGGTCTCGGCTAGCTACTTGGGCTTGCCACATACTCTTTGACAGCTGTCTTCTATCGCCGCACAAAGTATTTTTTGATATTTTCTTAATTTTTATGTTTCCTTATTGTAGAGCGGAAATAATATTTTAGGAATATTAAAGAACAGTAAAACCTCGTCATAAATGGCAATTTTCTTTGAAAATTTTAAAGGGTTTTTAAGAAAATGGCGCTTAAGCGCTACAGTTCATTCGAAATTTGAAGCACTTTTCCCCAGAAAGGTTTTGAGTTTAAGAAAAATTTTATTTGGAGTCATTTGAAGCACTTTACCTCACAAATGCAATAGTGTGTACAAATGGTTGGAAATATGCATGATAACGGCGTAAGGTATCTTTAAAAAATGCATTTCTGTAATTTTTGAAAAACAAAAAATACGTCGAAATGAACTTAACCTCATATGAAAGAGTGCAATTAGCAGTATCCTTTGGAAAAGTTCAAAGATAAACTTTAGAACTGGTTTTGAAAAAAAAGGTGTTTGAGCGTTTTTGAAAATGCGGAATATTGAGCTAGTTTTCACAGAAAATGTTTCAGATTCCGAGAAAATTTATAACATGATTTAAAGCACATGTACTCATAAATACAATAATGTTAACAAATTGCCGCTATGCAAATATTTACGACGTGAGAGACAAGTCAAAAACCTTACATTTTTGTAATTTTTGAAAAAACACAAGAATGGAGCAATATGGCGTTTATGTCATTTCATACAGTGCATTTAGCCCTACCAAAAGTTAAAAGAAAAAAATTGGAGCCGTTTTTGAGAAAATCTTGTTTTTGTAATCTTTTAAAATTGTGCAAATAGCACGCAATATTGCGCGAAAAACTATAAAGTTTTCAAAAAAGTGTATCTGACCTTAATGAAATAACTAACTACGGAGAACAAATTTTATTTGAAGTAAAATTCTTTTTCTTCAATAATGTAGTTGACAATATTGTAGACGCCGAAAACATCAGTATTTTGCATTTTTCGAAAATTTAGTTATCAGTGAAAATTGGACCTATGCTGCCTTGATCAGAGTATTTTACTCTATTCTTCCAAGAAATGTAAAGAAAAAAATGTGGAGCCATTTTTGAGAAAATTTTGAAAATGACCGGGAGGTTTCATGTAAAGTACCCTCAAATGTTGGAGATGATTTTCAAAATCTCAAAGCATCGACTCGAGTCAGATGAACAGGGGTTTCTTCAATTTGGAAAGAATCATATGCATAGTTTACCCACTACTAGTTTAATTCACAGACGGGTGGACGCACAGACGGATGTATGGACGAACAGACGGATATTTTGAAAAAAATAATTTTTTCGGTATTTGGGGACCCCAACACGTGTATTTCCATTGAAATCTCGAAATCTATAATCTGCAGCATTACATAACGTGCCCTACACTACGTACATTATTGCGTATATACGTACGTATAAGAGAAAGTAAAAATAAACTATTATATTGCTATACATAATTATTATTATCTTGGTTTTTTTTAGGATTTCTTATCCATTCCATAATCATATTCTTTTCCTTACTCATATATAAAGTACAAAGCACCCAGAAATCACCATTAATCTAATCCATGTGTCTACACCACCCCTCACCTTCTTAACTCTTCCGTATCTTTCTTCACTCCAATAATTATTCTCCGCTTCTAGTCTCACTTTATCTATTAGCAAATTGCATAAATAAATCAATATTGAATATGTATTTAATTATGGCTGTTTGATTGTGCTTAATTTGATTGTGGTCGTTGTTCCTCTCTACAATCGTATTTGAAAGTCTGGCATGGTTGGAGAGCTATGATTAAGTATTTAACAATATTTATTTAATTGACATGGCCACTTAAATAATTTTCTCTTCGGGATAATAAGTTAGTATTGTGTTGTATTTAATTATTAATAGTTTTTAGTTGTTTGTGTCCATATATGCTCTCTAATTTATTACTCGAGTGTCGTGCGTGGTTGCATAACTATGACGTTTTAACAATATTTCATTAACGGCAAGAATAATAAATTATTTTTTATTAATAAATGAGTACTAAATATTCGTATTAGTTTGAATTGATTTTGCCCATTTAAAAAACACTTGATTGTGCCAGCCTGACAGTCACTCCAGCATAACTACAATTATTTCATAAACATTAAATACAATAAATTTAATTTGGGGGTAATAAATGAGTACTAAATATTCCATTTGGTTTGATATCATTGTGCAATAGTAGTTGTACCAGCTTGACACAGCCAAATTCAGCTGTGTAATTCAGGCTATTTGCTGCGTGCTATGGTCGGCATTGCGCGATATCCACTTTAATTGCGATGTAATTGAGTACTTGTAGGTGTAAAGCATTGAGCGGTCGTCCAGCCTGGCTCCGTTTTAGTAACCTTGAATAAGGAAAAGCTCATCTCTACAGCGACTACTGCCAGGGCTCGCGATCGGTGACAAACGGCAGCAAAGGAAAAGACAAACATTTCCTTCCCTGTAGGTGACGACAAATTCGCTTCTAATTTCTGACAGCTTTAGCGCGGTAAGGTGTAATGAGAGGCGGAATTTTTGCCTCTTTTAATGTTTTATTTACATGAGTTTGCGTGGAAGCCATATAGAAGAGCAATTGTAACAAGGTTACTAAAACCTAATTCCACATGTCGAATTTTAAAATGTTTGGTCATCGTTTGTTATCACCAGATCTCGAGCTTTCGATTTTGTGCAGTTATGCAAGTCTGGACACCTGGTAAGAATGGTATTCTTGTGATATTCTTTGTGTGTATATCGCTGGATGCTTGTTTTTATTACACAGCCTGCCGGGAATTCGCAAAAGCGAAACAGAACTGCGATAATTTCCAACCCCCTGCTGCCGGTCCTGAAGTGCGCCCCGGAGACTTTCCTTATTTCGTAAGTATTTTCAAATCGAGAGCTTTATATCAGAGATCCGCATTGTATCCTTCTCATCGCATCTGTTCCTCAGGCTGGTCTAGGCTACAAAACGAAGTCTGGCAACGGGAAGACCAGCTGGTTGTGTGGCGGAGCCCTCATTAGCGATAATTATGTGCTGACAGCGGCAAACTGCGCTCATGGGACACCATCTTTGTAAGTAATCATGTTAAACAAGAACGTTCTTCAAAATGTCCAACATGAACAGTGAGATGGAAAACACATAATACCTTCACCCCTTCCTCCTCTCGACCGCAAACATTCCCCTCGTAAGGAAACATTAATTGTAAGCAATTAAATTGAACTGAAGGTCTGAATGTTAGAAGTGAAGGACTTTAAGAACTTTAGAAACTTAAGAAAATAACTGGCTCAGATATGAGACAATAATTAGGATAATAAGACACAGATACAAATAACTTGCACTGATTAATAAACTAATGAAACATGATAAAATATACTCAGGTCACTGCCCTGAGGAAGCCTGCGAAATGTCAGGCGAAACGTCGGCACCCCAGCCAACGACGCGGCGTCTCCCGGATAGCCGAGAATTCATGGATTCGAGCCGCGGAAGCTTACGTACATGATAAAATATAATTCATTCACGTGCACAAATAACCAAGTTTCATTAATACTGCACAACTTCTTATATCTAAAATTTTATATTTTCACAAATGTTACTCCTCGATAGAGGTAGTTTAGATAACCAATTAAAAACAAACGTTCGAGCATTAGGTAATATATTAACTAACACTTAATATCATGTTTACAATCCTGGATAATTCTGGACCAACATTGGGCATTGGAGACATACATGTTAGCTCGATATGCGTCTCAAACGTCACAACTGAAACAGCAGAAAGGCCGTCTCGACCAGATGCACTTTCCTTAGGACTTCTTGCGAACGACGGAAGGTGCGGATCGACCCGTTCCGTCCCTTCGCGTCCCGTTCTGTCCTGTGCCATCGCGTTCCGTCCCGTCCCACTCCATCCCGGCCCGGCCTTCCTCGTCCCGTCCCGTCCCGTTCCGTCCCGCCCCGTCCCGTTCCGCCCCGTCTCATCCTTTCGGGCTTAATCGAGCCCTTTGAGCAGGTTTTACTGTACTTACTTTTTGAAGTCAATAAACGTCCTCAGCAAACTTACTTCGTCGAATATTCGCCTGAAGTCAAATTGTCATCATAGCAAACGTGAAGCTTACACTGAACATCGTTCTCAGGATAATTTCAACTTGCGTATGTTGTGCCCGCAGAGGCGGTCCTGTCAGAGTGCGCCTGGGGGGCGTGTCCTTGAGCGAGGACGCAGGCGAGGACGCAGGCGTGGGCGCCGACGAGCAGGAGCTGGACGTGGCGGAGATCCTCGTGCACCCTGCGTTAGCAACGCCCTCGTCCAAAAACGGGGATATCGCGCTCCTTAGCCTCGCTCGCCGACAGGCGCGACTGCACGCGCAACTGTGCATGCCGGGCCCTGCCATCTTCCCGGAGGAGCAGCGCCGCGCTGGATAGGGCTGTGGTCGCGGGCGCTGGCCTTCGCCCTATACGCTGTGAGACTGGTATTAGTCACAGGAATTAAAATATCATAATATACACCTATAAGCAACAACAACAACAGCGTTTGGTTGCTGCCAATGACTATCCATATAATTACATAAAAACAAATAAATTTTTAGAAAAGGGATTTTGCCGAACTTCTGGACTTTACTCATTAATGTTTATAATTATTCAACAAATATCAATATATGCAGTATTGCTAAAGTATGTAAGTATATATGCAATATTGCTAAATATATGCAGTATTGTTTCTTCTCAAGATCCATCTAATGAAAAAAGTAGAGGGTTCCATTAAAAACAACTAAGTTAATCCAATATATTAAAATAAAAAATAGTATCAATAAGCTAATAACTACAACTGATGATCCCCTATAAGTGAATTATTTAATTTTTTTATCTCAATATCTTGAACCGTTTAGAAAATATTTGAGGTGAACGTTTTTATTTACTAACCTTGTAGTAATCGGGTACTCTTTGTGGGTTCCATCTGTCTGTCACTTACGTACAGACCTCTGCCACCATTCATAGGTTATATGATGCGACGTCTCAGTCTTATTGGAGGGAACCGACTGTTGTTTGGATTAATCAGTAACATTATATGAGAATCAGCATAAAACTTTTTTCAGTGGGTAAGGCAGCACGAAAGATAACCAATTGAGGAGCAGCTAATTAAAATGCATAGTATCCACTGGTGGGAAAAATTGAGTTTGATATGAAATCGCGTAGTTTTTAATACGTTCTACATGTTCCTGTAGTAAGATTTCTTCAAATGTATTTAATATAATGTGTTGTAAAGCGGTTTGAAGAAATCTCAAAGAAAGAACGTGCAGAGCGTATTAAAATTACAATACTTCATATCAAACTCTTTTTTCCACCAGTGAACAAAATGCGGTTTGATTAGTACACGCATGCTCTCGACAAGACGGGTCAATTTGCTCTATTGTTAGCTCTTTCTAGAATACTACGCCAAAAAGGCATAAAAAAATTCAAAATGAAATATGAAGTCATTACTTTCCTTTCTTCGAGGTGTTCTCCAACATTCTATACTACAACTTTGACCGTAATATATATCTGAAGAGCCAGAATAACACTTATGTTAATTGCGAATTCCAGCTTCCCTTAACAGTTCGTAGTAACCTTCTAATATGAATAATATATTTTCAAAACATAAATGCTTTTGTAATACTTTTGGAATTTAGATCATGCAATCCTAACTATTAAAGTGTCTTTAATATTTTTCATTAGTTTATAATGTTTTACTCAATTACATTTTCACAAATATATTTCAGCTAAGGAAATTGGAACTCTTCGTAAAGTTGATATCCCTGTTTTCCCATTCAAGAAGTGTTCAGAAATATATAAAAGGTTCCCACTCGTTGATTCAACTGTACTATGTGCTGGAGAGGAAGGAAGAGACACATGCCAAGTAAGCAGAAAAGTGACATAGTATTTACTTGCAGTATGAAATACCCTGCACACAATTGCAACTAAATTTGCTTTCAGGGAGACTCTGGTGCGCCCCTTGTTGTAAAGGAAGGTGCACCGATTTGCAATTACCAGATAGCTGGCATCACATCCTTGGGAGCTGGAGTATGTGGTTCTAAACCTGCAATTTACACAAAAGTACAGGCTTATCTGCCTTGGATTGAAGAAACAGTTTGGAAATAAATAGTCAGATTTTTTACAAGTGTAACACTGAAAACTTAAAAAATTAAATGTAACATGTGAACTGATCTGATTTATAAATAAAGTATTTTTTTCTCTTTCCATCAATAATGATAATAATAATAATAATAATAATAATAATAATAGTAATAATAATAATATTTGTTATGTATAGGAATGTCGTCAGGTTCATCTATTTTTGAAGTACTTTCAATTTGTGGTCTAGGTTTTCTTCTCTTGCTAAGACGGCTATGTAATCAGCGTAAAGGAATTATTGATGGGCGAATACAGGGTTACCGATCTGGTAGCAGCACAGAATAACCCTGCCCCCTTCAAAAGTATGGAGCAAACATACTGATAACAGACAACAAACAACATCTGTTGGGTATTTTCGAAATGTTGAGAACAAAATATTAAATTACTTCTGGTATCGAAACAAGAAGTATAGTATCACAGATGCGAGAGTGAGGGTCTTTCAACAAGAGCTGACGTATTCACAGGTGTATCAAATAAAGAAATACCTACCAACAAAGAATTTCTTACATAATTTTGAATCGGTCATGCCATAAACGTAGCCTTTATTGTTTATGCCAGGAATTTTAAAACTCAAGAACGTATTAGTTTTCTATTTCCTTTGGTCTCGGTTAGCTATACGGACTTTCCCAGGGCCGTTTCTTGAACCTCTGTGGTCCCCGGCGGATTCGAAAATGATATTTTATTTTTTTATATATTTCTTGTCCGTTCGGCCCTTCGGGAGTTATTATTTACGATACATGAGGACTAACAGTCTCTTCCATTTACATCAGGGCATAAGTATATGTACTTGAGCTTATTTTTCAGTTTATACACAGTCTCTGTTTACCTTAATACAAAAATATTAAAAAATGTACCGACTAATTAAACACACAAAATACAAAGATACACAAATATATACCAAAATATGCCTTGAGTAAAAATACCACACTTGAGAATGACACATATACAGTTATTACAATCCCATATATTGTTTATAACATTAGTACCAGAGATTTATGGTGCCTTTAAGCGATCTTTTGGAAAGCGTGACAAAATCCTGGATGGTGCATAAGCTGTACGGCCAAGGTTGAAAGTTCTTTTGCTAGGGCAAGCTTCAAGACTTAAAAACATTTCGATAGTTTATTTATGTACTCTTTAATGCAGCTAATGTTCAATTCTCTTTGGATTTGTGCATTAGGAATAAACCAGGCTTTGGTGATCAGTTCTAGAATTTGTTTTCAGTTATTTCCAATTTATTAATATGCGTGTTTGCGGCGCCTCCCCACACTGAGCACGCATAGGTGAGCGACGGGCGAATTATAGATTTAAAGATTGTTACTCCGTTTTCTATTCTTAATGTAGAGTTTTTATTTATTAGAGCGTAAGGTTTGACCATTTTTTTCATAGGTTTTGTTAGCAATATCAATTATGTGGTTCTTCTATGTTAATCGTCTATCTAATTTAACTCCTAAGTATTTCACGGGTTGGTTATTGTTTAGCCAGAGAAAAGGATTGTTACTAATTGTTAACACTGGAGGGATTACGAATCTTTTGAGCGATAAAATTTTAGCTTGTGATTAGTTTAGGTTTATCTGGATTCTCCATTTATCAGTCCATTTAATTAAGGTATTTAAATCATTTTTTAGGTTTTCCAGGGCAATAACCAGCTCTTCATGTTGTGTGTCATCTGCGAACAAGGCTATTTCAGTATCCATTAATTCCGGAAAATCGGCAAGGTAAATTTTGAATAAAGTCGGTGAGAGTGGGGAACCTTGTGGAACTCCAGCTGAGATTCTGTATTTATCCGACGTGGTATCATGTATTTTAATATTAAATGATCTGTTTAGCAGAAAACTTCCAATTATATCTTGATAGAAGATATTTAGGGATGCCTAGATGGCGAAATTTGTATTTCAGTCCTGTGTGCCAGACACGGTCGAACGCATTAGTAATGTCTAAAAACAGAGCTGCCGTGTACTTTTTCTCGTGGAAGCCCTTTGCAATCAGATCTGTAACTCTTAAAATTTGGTGTTCAGTCGAGTGATTTGCTCTAAAGCCGAATTGGGCATCAGGTATGGCGTTCGTAACATATAAGAATTTATTTAGCCGGGCTAAAATCAGTCTATCAAACACTTTAGCTAATGAAGGTAATAGGCTAATTGGCGTGTAATTATCTAGTAGTTGTGAACATTTATTTGGTTTTTTTATTGGAATGATTATTGCGTTTTTCCAATTATTTTGGTAATAACCTAGTCTTAAAGCTGCATTTAATATAGCTATTATTGCTGCAATTGTGGAGTTTGGCAATTCTTTTAATATTTGATTAGTTATTAGGTTATTCCCAGCTGCTTTTCTGTTTTTTTAAGTATGTTTATTGTGCGTTTAAGTTCTTAGAGGTATGTGAATTTTGTTCTTACATCTGCGGAGTATTGGATGCTTCATACTGTTTAAAATTTCCTCATTGCACACATGGTTTACTGTTGGATTGGGCTTAAAAGTATTTGAAAAGTGCTTTTACGCCCAAACGTCTCCGCTTTTTCGTCATCTTTATAGAGAATACTAGTGCCCGATTTAAATGGTTGTATTCTAGATTGTTCTCTGGTATCCTTTTTGATACCTTTCCATAGAGAAGGTGAGCAGGGGGTAATTTGCGCTAAATATTGCTTAAATGAACTATATGTGTTCGTCGATTAAAAAATTTTACTTTTTTGCATAAGGAGTTATATTTCCTTTTTAAGTGTGGCTTCTATACAACTGCCAGAACCTTCTAATCCTGTGCTTGTCTTTTACCAATTCCACGATGTGTTTCGGTAGCCAGTAAGATGGATGTTTGTTACATTGCACTGGTTGACATGATTCTTTAACCGCGATGCTTATTGCTTCTATTAGATTATTGATTTGTAGGTCAATATCAGTTCCGTTTTTGAGATCTTTTGGGAACGAAAATTGCGTGGCAATTTTTAGCCTTAAGAGATCCCAGTTTACTTTACCATTTATTAGTTTTCTTGAATTGTTAACTTGGGCAGTGCTCTGAAATGACATTATTATGGGGTTATGATCTAAATAGAGATCAGGTATTACCGAGTGAAAAATGGGGCAATTTATGTTTGTGGTTAGACTTATGTCAAGAATGTCCGGGGCGCCTCCATTATTAAATGGACACCGTGTGGGTGTAGGGGGGCATGGATTAATATATTATGATTCTGTGCGAACTGTAAAAGTTTACGACCTGCTTCTGTTGTAATTCTGCAGTTCCATGCTTTATTTTTACCATTTCAGTCGTCTATGACAATGATTTTCTTATTATTATTGTACACAATGCTATTATTGGAGTTGAATATTTTATCCAAGGTCTTTACTGGAAATTTCTTATTAGGTGGTTTGTGGGCGATTATTATTATTATTTCTGAATCGGCTGTTTTTAGATTTATTGCTACCGTCTCCAAGCAGTCAGAAGTGGGACATTCAATTTGAGAGTGACTAAGCTCTTTATGGATTATTATCGCGACCCCTCCCGCAGCTTTATACGAAGGTCTATCATTTCTATAAGTAATAAAACCAGGTATCTTGAATTTATCGGTTGGGTGGAAATGCGTTTCCGTAACGCAAGCTATTTGTATTTCGTGGAAGAACAAAAAATTCCTAAAAATGTTGTTTACATAAACCATTTGCGTTCCAGTTTAATAATTTTAAATCCGTGAGCTGGCTACGCTTCATTTTCGTTACGCGACCTGAATCATATTTTGGATTTGTGGTAATAGAAAATTCATAATCTGAATAATCACAGTACTTGTGATTGATTCGATTAATCTATTCATATCAATGCCTGGATTCATGAACGGCGTCGTATTTCTAACGTACTCTTGAGAATTATTTAATGGTTTTATCCAAGGGCCTGGTCTTTTGGGTAGGGGAGGGAATTGCGCATTGTTAAAGATTGGAGGTTGGCTGCATCTGGCGTGCCTGCTTTCATAACTTATCTCTTGATCAACACCTTGCGAACTATTCAGTACCTTGGCATGGCCTGCGTTATATCTCGATCCAGTTGGAGATTAATAAATGTCTTGTTTAATTCTGCCTTATAGAAAGAGCAACCACGATAATTCGACATGTGATTTTGCTAGCAATTAGTACAAGATGGTGTTACCCCCATTTAGGGAGTGTACATTCAGAATAGTGGTCATTGAGACATTTAACGCATCTAGGGATGTTAAAACAGTTTGCGTATGCCCAAAGCGTTGGCACTTTTTACATTGGATGGGGAGCTTAGTTTTTGTTCGTACAAAAACTCAAACTATACAGTAGACTTAACTTGTTTATTTTTAGAATGGCTCTACCAGCCACATTATTCTCCACGTCTACAGCAACTATCTGCAGGGGTTTTATGTTTTTACCATAAAGTCTTACTACTTTTAATACAGGGAATTTATCATTAAGTTTTTTTTAATATCATTAACATCTAGACACTCCGGTACATCTTTTATTACAACTTCAAATGCTCTTACAGACGGATCATTAAAGGAGTAGAACTCTATCTCGTTATTTTCGCAAAATTTTCTAAATTTCCTTAAGTATTCAATGTTACTAAATTACACTTTAAATTTGTCACTGTATTTGACTGCAAAATTTTCAATTTCATTTTTCACTATGTCCTCTTTAAGCACTTTATAATTTAATAATTCATCTTCTCTTTTACTATAATTTTGAATAATAATTGGGGGGATTTTTACAGTTTTGAATTCACTATCATCATTTTCCTCTACGTCATCTAAAGATTCAAATATGTTTCCTACAGGCACGTTATAAAGCATTTGATTTACCTCTGCTTGTGAACGTTTTTGTCTTTTATCATTTAACACTTCACTAGAATCACTGTTTCTTTTAAGTATATATCTACTTTTTTTGGTTGAAGTGTTGGAAGTACGTTGAATTGCTCCAAGTTATTTTTGGCGTTTGGTGACTCCTCGCCAAGGTTTTGCAGTTTCAAGGGAGGTAGCGGATACCCGGCAGTGCCATGATGTAATTGCGGCGGTTGAACTGTTTCTGGTTGTGTTATACCTTGCTGTTGAGTTTGCACCATGTTTTGCATTACACCCTGCTGTGGCAAGTTAGCACTCTATTGTGACTGGAATGGAATGTACCCAGCCTGATATTGCGGCAACATTTAACCATTTTGAAACGCGAACATAGTGTCATTTTCCATTGAGCTGGTATGAGAAGTCTCTCCAAAGGTAGAGACTACACCGTTTGTTGCGTCCATTGCCATTTTTATATGCTGCCCCGTTTCGGGGCAGCCATTTTCACACATTACACTGACCTAGTGTTAATGGCTTGTTACATACACTTTTACAAAACAAATAAATAAGTGAAAGAACAAGTAAAGCCTACACCTGGTTTTACTAGTAGACACTTCCACAATTACTATCAGCGCGTCGATAACACAGTAGCCTCACTGGTAAAGCTTATCGCGAGGAGCGACTCTTGGAGAGGTCTTACCCCGACGGGAGCTGAGCTCGAACTGCATTATAAATGTAAGTTGAGCAATATGAGTCACATCTGCAGTGGAATCTAAAGAAATAACGTTATATGTCGCATGATGGCCAGCACTGCTCGATATGACCGCGACCATGCGTCATCTAGCGGCACGACCGAGACAGGCGCGAAATGCCGTGAGAAATTCCATCGTGAAGACAGGCACTCCCGCGCCAAGAAGCCCAAGTATAACTTCGAGCACTCGCGCTTGTCTGAAGCCAGTTGGGCTGGCGTTTATTATTTCAGAGCGAGCCGCGGGTTAACGTAGAGCAATAAGATAAAGATTAAAGGCCCATTCTCAATGCAAACATAAACATAAGTATAGCGCATTGACATAAACATTAACATAAGCGATAGACTGAAGTATTCACAATACCTAACATAAACGTAAGCAAAATAAGTTTCTATTGGCTGTGAGACTTTCTGGTTGGATGTGAGAATCGGTTTCAAGATATCGACTCTGTCTATGTCCCATATGGGTGAGTTCTTCTATCAACTTAACTCCAATTTCGATTCTCGATTTTGAGTTACCATTCTGTGATTGGTTCATTTCTTATGTCTTTCTTAAGCATAAGCACAGAAGCTTGAAGCTTTTAAGTTACCGTCTTACGTGTTATATTACGTGTTATGCGAACGCATTGTGATTGAGTCCGCTTATGGACGAAGTCCTAACTTTTATGTTAACGCCATGCTTATGTTTACGTTTGCATTGTGAATGGGCCATAACTTGACTCCGATATTTGAACATGCCATGAAGTAGTGAACTTGATAGGCTTAGCAATAAATAAATATGACACAATTCTTGAAAGGCGTGTTTGTTTTTAATATTTTGAGGCCCTTCAGAGACCGAGGCCCCCGGCGACCACCGGGTTTGCCCATACCCAAAGCGGCACTGGACTTGCCATACACTCTTGCTCTCTGCTATCCATCGCTGCCAAAAGTACATTTTTTTAAAATTGTCATTTTTCGGTTTCCTAATAATAGAAAGGAAATATTATTTTAAGAACATTAAAGAACAGTAAAAGCTCGTCCTAAATTACAATTTTCTTTGAATAAATTGCAGCCTCATTTAAGAAAATGACTTAAGCGCTACTGTAAATTCGAGATTTAAAGCTCTCTTTCAAAAACTTGTTTTTGAGTTTTCGAAAAATTTCATTTGAAGTACTTAAACTTACAAATACAATACTGAGAACAAATACAATTTATGAGAAAATGGCATTTGAGCATTTATGAGAATGCGGAATTTTGAGATAGTTTTCACAGAAAATTGTTGCGTTTTCGAGAAATTTATGACATTATTTTAAGTACATGTACTCATTAATATATAATGTTAACAAATTGCTAATAATATAAATATTTACAACTTGAGAGGCAATCAAAAAATATTACATTTCTGTAGTTTTTTCAACAAAGAATGGTGCAATATATTATCTTATAAGAGTTCATTCAACACTATTCCTACTAAAAGATTAAAGAAAAAAAATGGAGCCGTTTTTGAGAAAGTCTTGTTTTTGTAATTTATTAAAATTGCACATATTGCTCGCAATATTGCGCGAAAACTCTTAAAATTTTCAAAAATAAATATACACAACTTCATGAAAGAACTAACTATAGAGAACAAATTCTATTTGAAGGAAAAATCTTTATCTTTAATATTGCAGGTGTAGGAAGACGTCACAAAAATCCAGTCTTTTGCTATTTACGAAAATCCAGAATTATGAGTGAACTTTGGACCTTTGCCACCTCCATAAGCGTATTTTACTGTATTCTTACAAGATTTTTGAAAATGTCAGGTCGACTTCATGTAAAGTACCCCCAAATTTAAAAAAAAATATGTTCAAAATCTCAAAGCTTCGACTCGAGCCAGATGGACAAGGATTTCTTCAATTTAGAAAAAATCCTGTACATGGTTTAGTCGCTAATGGTGTTCACAGATGGACCAGTGCCAGTTCGGTCATTTCACACGAATGCCCAGATGACCCAGTTTATTTGAACTTACGGAATGATCTCGGCATTATTTCCTGCGCTTGTGAGAGCCTCTAAATTACGACTACGTTGGTGAGGGCCGTTGTCGCCCTCACGTGATAGCCACGGTAGGCGCGATCGCCGCATTGCATTCATCGGGAAATGTGTCCGGGACCCCGTCGCCTTCGAGGACGGGTTACCGCCACGGCGAGTGAGAGGATGCCTGGGCGCGCGCGTGGCCGAGAAGCCCGGCGAGAGATCAGAGGCGCAGCCTGCTTGGAGGCGCCATCGCCGTCCGCAGAGAACCATCTGACAACCGCCCACGCCAATACCTGCGGCGTCGAGTGCTGCCGCCCAGCGATTGCGGGGCGGTGCAGCTATTTAACAAAGTTAGGACATTAGTTTGGGTCACCGCCCGCTCTTTTCCCCGCCAAGAACGCAGGCGAGTCTGTCAATGAATAAGTGTAGTTTCAATGAAGCGGCAAGTCATATTTTGGTGGCAGGAATAGTACGGTTGGTGGTCGGAATATGCGGCGTGAAACTCCTGAACGTAATCACTTTGCAACAATCGCCAGCCGTGTCCAGGTCGGAGGGAGCGTGAAGTTGCGGGGAATGTTTCCGTGGCATTCCCTGGGTGAGCTCGTCATTCTAGAAGGCACAATGGATAAACAGAATGCGGCCATCCACGGAGAGCATGTTCACTTCTATATGCACACCGGGTTTCCTCAGCAAGACGGCATCTACCAGCAGGACAATGCAACGTGTCAGAGCTCGAAGCGCGTGCGCGGTGAGCACCAGGATGAGATTACAGTACTTCTCCCCCGGCCATCAAACTCCAATTAAAACCCAATCGAAGATCCATCTCGATCGGGCTGATCGCGCTATGGATTCGCAACCGAGGAACCTAGCGTAGCTGGCCACGACACTGGGGTCTGCATGGCTCCACTCCCGACGTTACTACCCAGAACCTAATTTCCTGCCTTCCTGCACGTCTCGCAGCTGTCAGAGCTGCAAAACGGGGTTATTCAGGATTTTGACGAGTGGTCATGAGACAGGACTGTGTATAAAGGTATACTGTTTTTGGAATTATATCAAGATAAGAATTTTTTGTGATTACAATGTGAAATTTTGCTTCTCATTTAAAAATTAACTTTCAAAAAGTATTCACGAGCAAACTTGCCTTAAAAATGTGTATGCATTAATGAACGTACACATAAGGTTTTTAAAGGAATACAGTGCTAACTACACTGATACAAAGACCTTGCAGTTTTTTGACTTCACTGCATTGAGGAATCTTAGTAAGAGCTTTTGTAGCATCCTTCCTTCACACCAAGTAACAGGCTATTGGTTGTATAATTTGATTTTAGGGAAGATAGCTTTGTTTCAATTGCAAATATCAATTATTGATTTGTATGTAAAGCTTTAAAATTGCACTTGATAGATCATTTTGAAATAATTTTGAAATACATGGTATGTACTTGGTTTTCTGAAGTGCAATTTCACCAATATTTAGACTTCAATAAATTTTAATTTTCATTTGTTTGCTACTTTTTCAAGTACAACACACATAGGATGACTCTCTTATAAGTTTAAATAAGTAAATACATTTCCTAGAAAGATGTATAAGAACTCCCTCTTCTCAATTGCGAAATTTGTTCAAATTTATTGTGTATGACTTACAAGTTGAACCAATTTGGGCCTGTCTGTAGTAGGATTTTATTTTATTTAAGTTATTTCTATTTTTTGAAAAACTGTTCTATTATCCTCACTCTTTCAAGACTCAACTAACATTTTAAAATTCACATATAATCATAAAAAATCTCATAAAAAATTCTGCAGTCTCTAGCAATCAAAAAGAAAATATCCAGGAACAGTACTACTGCTTCTTGAAAATAATTTTCAACTTCATTCATTCCATAAACATGACCTTTAAGATAAACTCATTGAAAGAAAACAATTAATAATGTAATACTGTTGAATTAGATTAGGAATAGAAACACTTGTGAGAATATCGTTAAAGTTGAGACCAAATGCAAATGCAAGTGCAAGATTGTACAATGAGGAAACATTATAAATTTTCATTTCTAGTGCAGAAGTTTGAAACAATGAAAATCCTTTTCTCAAAATTCATATACAAAATAACAATGGAATAAACAGTTTAATTAATTTGTGATATGGTAAATTAAGAATACAATCCTTTCAAATTTTATTTCTGTACAAGGTACATGTGGAGTTTAAAGGAGAGCTCAATTTTTTAAAGTTTAATCGCTAACAAATCTCTTCAGTAAAAATACTACACTCGCTATTCTCTTGTCCTCAGAGTTTGTTTGTTTTTTTATAAATAACTCCATATGCAAAATTAAAATATTACATTCCTTTTTAGGAAACAGAAATGTACACATTTCGTGCTAAGAATTATTACATGGGAAATAGCACAGCTTCACACTAGTTTTCAGAAGTAGAAATGTCTATGTACAATTGATATGAAAATGAAAGTCTGTACAAAAAGTTCCAAAGCACCCTTTGGCACAAATTAAAATGCTCAGTGATATTACACACAAAAACATGGAAAACAGCCTAACAATTTGAAGCATAACAATTCTGAAATCAAATTGCTGCTGAATGCCTAATTCACAAAATATTTAAACTTAATTTTAATATTTCGGTGTATTAAACAATTTATATAATACTAAAATTGTTTTAACAATCTCATGCAAAGTAAACATGCCAAAGTAACATTACTATTACTTGTAACATATTGTAACAATAGAATCAAACGAAAACAGATCAATGGGAATTTGTTAATATCGTAATTATAAAATCTTTAGTGGATTTATTTCATTTCCTCTTATAAAATTTAAACATTTTGGAATTAATGTTCCTTGCTAACAAGGATACGAAAATTATCTTTCAGCAGCATTTCAAAAACATAGAATTCTTATGAGTACTCAAGAGCAGTTTAAGGACATTACTTCATAAATAAATTGGAAACATTGATCATTATCCTTGGGTTGCAATCTTTTTAAGGACTTTCACTGCTGGATCTATGGTGAGACTTCTTTTTCTTTTTCTTCTTTTTATGCCGATGCTGTTCCCAATCAGAATTACTAGTTCTGAATGACTGATGATGGGAGTGGGATTGACTGGAATGAGACCTTGAATGTGATCTTGACCTATAAATAAATTACATAATACCATCACTATACGGAAAGAAGTACCCAACTTATGTTTCCCCTGGATATGAGCCCATGACAACAAAAGATGATAAGTTTTAGAAAATCAGAAAACAGAATATTTAGGTACCTAGAATAAAAAATCTAGGAACAAATGCACATCTTACACCCAATACCTCAAACGACACTGTACATGAAGTAAATCTGCATCTGCATATAGAAGCTGCTACAGAAGCAGCTCTAATGGCTCAGCAACTCAAAAACCTTGAAAACAAACTAATAAAATTTGTCAAGGAGAACAACTAGGAAGAAATTACCAATGGTACTCACCAGTGAAATACATCATTAATACAATATCCACATTCTCAAAGAAACAAAACAGATGAGTGTGCAGAAGTTGCACTTACCTGGAATGGTCTTTCTTTTTTGATTTTTTATGCCTATGATTATTATCATCGTCCCCTTTTGTTTGAGTTCGAGGGGAATTGGAATCATGTTCAAAACTATGTTTCCGCTTATGAGAATTGCTCCGACTATCCATTGCTGAGCGACTCGATTGATCACAGCCAGAATAACCACCATCACGTAATTTTCGAAGATTTGGATTCGATGCTGGAATTAATTCAACTATTAATGAACATCTAACCTCGACAACAAATGTATAGATATAGATATAGACAACATATATATAGATAGACATATATTTTTAAAATACACTAACCTTGAATCCTTGCATATAATGAGGTAGTACATCGTACCTCACCATTCTGCTTAGGACTCAACCTCTCATGAAGCATATCTTGCCTGAAACAGGAGATCTTTATTACTAATGTTCAATGCACACAGACATTAAAAGAAAAGATGCAGCCTCTAGCCATTTGTGATGTGTTTATGGTTTCATCATGTAAACACGAACTGGAGAAATAGGAATAATGGAATTGTTTTTGACTTGACTGAAAAATCCAAATATTTGATTCTGTTGTTTTGCCTACTCACATATTGTGCATACTCTCATACTATATATACAGAATTCAGTCCTGAATTCTCATACTCACTGCATCATTATATATAACACAGCTGACATGCATTAGCAAGGCTCTAAGGTAGAGGACACTTGCCATTAAATTTTTGCTATTCACTGGCGTTTTAAAATTGAAGGTTTTTTCCCGGTTTTCCAGGGTTGAGAATATAAATTTCCCAGGTTCTGTTTCGCACATTACAACACATTTTTACTTTCTCGCTACCACGGTAGAGAGAAAGTTATGTAATGCAGTGCGAAAGAAAAGGGGAAGGAGAAAAAACTATTACAAAGTCCTGGTAACACAAAAGTGAATAAATTAAGTTGCTTAATTTAGAAGAAAAAAATCCTCTAACACTGGTGTAGCCAGAACCCCCTTCTGTGGATCCTCGATACTGAAAAATTGGTAGATGGCAAAACATCTGTCATCCATCTGCCTGTGAACAACGCTAGCAGCTACACTGTTCCGGCGATTTGCTCCAATACTGATATTCCCCAATCGATCTGGCTGATGTCGCGGCCCCTTGAAAGAGAAAGCGATTTTTTCATTTCAGAGGGTTCTTTACATGAAGCCAATGAGATTTTTCAGAATTTTTAGAAGGCACCATTGATTTTGATTAAATATTATTGTTGGACAGCATAAAGGACGTTTAAGAGAATGGTATAGGTCTCATGTTTGTTTAAAATCTAATTTTTTGAAAATTACAAATATTCAAAATTTTTTCAGCTTGTTCCTAAAACCAAAATATTAATGATAAAGAATTTTTCTCACAATAAAATCTGTTTTTGACAGAAAAAAATTATCTTGTTGGATAGTTTGAAGGATGTTTAAGAAAATGGTGCAGGTCTCATGTTCGTAAAAAACCCTAATTGTTCAAAAAATGAAAAATTTCAAAATTTGTTCAGCGCCTTCCTGCAACTACAATTAACGTACATTTTTTTTCTGAATACAATGTGTTTATCAAAAACAGAGCTTCAAATAAGGTCATGATCAATTTTTCAAAAATTTTAGTATTTTTTGCAAAATTTTACTAATACATACTATTACAATTACATTACTAATACTAATACAACAGTCAGTGATAACCTAATCTGGTTATGGCTAATGATGCGAGACAACCACAAGGGACTCTTCAGGGAACTGGCTGACTTCCTTATAGAAATGAGTGCTCACTAAAGAATCCACTCAAGGGCTGTTTATGAGTAAAATTTGTTCACTTAAGGGAACACTCATTTAAGTGTCGACTATAAATTTGGCCCAAGGTGTGATAAGTAATAAACAAGACGACTGAACTTGTAATAAATGAAAGGCATGAGAAATATGAGCATACCTGCTTTGATTGTAATAAACCAGGATTTTTACCACAGTATGCAAAGGTAGGGCACTGGCAACTAAACTAAGGTCATTTCCCAACCCAACAACGAGAACACACTACTAGCAGGAAAACCTCTCCGACAATGGGATGGAAATTGATGAAATAGAATATAATACACAAATAGTAAAGACATGAAACCACGTTGTTGATTCCTGCTGATATTCCACATACCTGCCAATATGAGGTGGTGAAGGCACTTCATCAGAAGTTGGGGAGGGAATAGTAGAAACATCACTATCCACCTCGAGCTTTGGAGACTCCTGAATCGACTGAACAGGGGCTCCATCTGGTAACTGAGGTCCTATGAGAGTGGGCTGTGATTTGTTCACTGGATGTTCACGGCCAATCATATTCAGGAATGCTGCAGCCCTCCTCTTTCTTTCTGCTTGCAGTTGCTTTTCTCTAGCTGCAGCAGCTAGTTTTTCTCGTGCCGCAGCAGCAAGTTTATCTTTCAGCCGCTCCTCAGCCCATCGTGTTTTCTCCACAGTCCCAGAACGCTTCTCAGGCTGTGTGATGGCATTATCATCAGTAAGATCTATTAGTTCTGCTTCTTCTTTAACAGGGGTAACTACTACTGATTCTTTCACCACATCAGTAGTTTGTACGGGAGGCTTATCAACTTTGCTTTCAGTTTTGTTGGTTTTTTCACCCTACAATACAAAGAAAATTTTGGTATTAATACTCTTCACAACACAAACACATCCTATAACCATTTCCATTAACCCATTTAAATATAACCACTTTATATGTTACATAAAAAAATAATAACACTGTGACAAACCACTGTATGAGAAAGAATTTTTCACATCTTCCCCACTGGCCAAAAATTCCTAATTACAATACCACCCCTTTCAGAAGACACTTTCTCCCTCTGATAGTCACCCAGCAGCAATGTACATTCCACAATGTACCCCTCAAATTATGTAAGTAAATGTGTACGACCGTATGAGTTCATTTGATACTTCTGGCAGCTATAAATGCACATACAGACAACATAAGCAATCCATCTTTGGAGATGAGCTGCAAGACTTCCCACGGTAAGATGGCATTTCATGGCAGCACGGTGGAGCTAGCAGCTCAACTTCCCTCTTTGTCTCTTTCTCTGTCTCTCTAACTTTTCAGAAATTATATTACTATGTTATACATTATGTATATAATTTAAGGTAGACAGAATTTCTTAGCCGTAGTTCACTTCACTTCACCTCACATGTACAGTTCTTGATAATTATTAAACATCCCAATTACATTTTTAGAAACATGTTTAATTTAAGTGTTTGAAGAGTACAGTGATTATTGTTCTAGAATTTGTAAATCTCTCTCATTTCATTAGCCTTCACAAAAAAGTGCTGAACGTATCAAAATATATTTTTTGGGGCCTTGATTTTCTGTTAAGTGAAAATATAATACTCCTTTCACTTTTCTACATCTTCTCGCTATGTGTGATGTGATTGCAAGAGTTCAGTAAGTTCTAAATAAAATACTAAATTACGATACAGCTCCACAAAAGCAAATGATTTCTTGCACATTAATAGTAAACAATTACTTATTGTAGGACATGTCAAAATTGGTAATGTATTTTTAAATAATCCAGCACCAAACTATACAAAAGAGCTCAACAATCATCTTTTCATTCCTCACACATCTTATTATTACACATGCAAACTTGCTATATTTTTCTGACAAACAAAACAGAACAACCCACCTCTTGGGCTCCTTCTTCATCCGAACTTTCCTCGACAGGCAATGCACTTCGCTTTTCTAACAGACCATGTTCTGTATCCTTAGGTTTCTTGATGGAAAAACACACTGGGGCAGGTTTGCCGCGTCGGCCATTTTCCTCCCCGTCATATTCCTCTCTCTCAGAAGAAGGGGAGTGAAGGGAAGTGCCATCTTGACTCTCTTCTCCAGCAGTATCTATGCCTTGACTTGCTTCAGATACTTCAGCCTGCTCATCTTTAACCACACCAACTTGTTTCTCCTTGCCTTCGTTTTCAATATTCAAATACACAGAAATTTTGTGACGATAGTATGAATTGTATGAATGTGTTGGCTCCAAAAATGCAAACCGAGGATCCCCTTTGCTGCGAACAATTGTCTCGAAGTCTTGCCCATTCTTGGCAACGTAACTTGCCATTTTATCAATAATGATCTGCATATCTTGAGGTGGTGTAGAAACATTTGGTGAATCTGACCTTGGACCACTTTCATTTCTTGTAGATGGTGTACTTGCAACGCTTCTCCTGCAACATGATGATTGGTGATAATTTGTCAGTATTAAAAAATTGACTTACAAAAACTAAGATCACAAATATTTGCACAAATAATTTTGTAAAAAAGATCTTTAACTTTTATAACAAAAAAATCTGTTAACAAGGGTTAAATATTATGTTTTTTATTGTCAAAGTGTTTTCTCCCAAGAATATACTTAAGATAATTCTCATTAGCCAGAAAAAAATCTGTTGATCATACTTTAACTTATTGTAAATTCTTTTTTTTTAGTCCTTACTTTTAGGCAGTAAAATTATGTAAAGGTACCAGGGGCATGGCAACATTTACACTGCTCTCATTTTTATTTACCTTTGCAGTATGTAAGAGCCTTTTACATACAACAAGCTCTATATATCTATCTAATAAAGTTAACACATTAACAAGAATCCATTTGGATTGAAAATTTTATTAAAACATGTTCCACAGACGCAACCACAGATATTGATGTTAAAAAAAATTAGACAAAGAGAAGTAATATCAGGCACCTTCTGTCAGCCTTTCTAAACAAAGTACATTACAATAACTTCATGTTCATGCTCAATTTTCATGTGTAAGAAAGAACAATATACAAAATGGCATTTTGTTCAGGGCAGTTCATATTTATTACAATAAAAGGCACATTGGACCATTTACACAGCACTGGCACGCTTTGTACACTTACACTTCGAAACTGAAAAAAGATCGGGTTGGTAGGTTTCCGCGGCCGGAGTCAATGCATTCTTGGCTATCCGGGATGAGCTGCGTCTCTGTCAATTGTACTGACGTTTCAGCCATCTTGCTGTGGCCTTCTTCAGAGCTATACTGCTGATAGCAGTATAGCTCTATAGCCAATGTACCAGCAGTATAGCTCTGAAGAAGGCCGCAGCAAGAGGATTGAAATGTCAGCACAATTGACCAAGATGCAGCTCATCCTGGATAGCCAAGAATGCATTGAAAAAGATTGACCTGCATGCAACCTGCATTAGAGCTATACCAATCACATTATTTTTCACCTAAAGTAGTAATTATAGAATATATAGGGGTAACAATGACATTTGAAGACGACATGAATTTGTCTGCATGGGCAGTGTACACATCACCTGCACACCCAGACACAAATTAAAATTCAAAACCATCTCGCACTCACCGTGAGGTTTCTTTCAGTGAGCCACCCCTTCCTCGAGATACAACATGAACAGGGGCTGAAGCAGGAGCTACAACAGGAGGAGCAGGAGCAGCTGCAGCTTGCACGGATGAGGTTTCAGGATCTGTTTCAACCTTTTCAGGTTTAATGTTGTAACGAACAGGAGCAGCAGATATGACTGGATCTGCCATATAGTACTGTGGGACAGGAACCAGGGCAGGCACTGTGCTTGCCAAAGTGGAAATTGCCAAACCAGAAGTTGAAGAAACAGAAGGCACCGGCTGTTCTTCTGTTTTGGGAGCTGGTATAAGGCCAAATGCTGCTTGCTTGTCCTTGATACGATTCACCAACATAGAATACGCACAGTCTGTAGAGGGCTTGTAGTTGATGCTGGGAATGGAAGGGGCCTGTGAAAATAAGCAGAATCAAATAAATGTCTGATACTACAATGTGCTCTTCAACTACAAACCACACAGTAACGAAGAGCAATGAATATGAACAAAAAATTAAACAAGCCCACTCTTAGGCACCCTCTTATTCAAACTAACTGTCACATATATTTCTCTCATCTAGCACTCAACTATTCTTACCAACTATAGATATAGATAAAAATGCTGAAAACTTACGGAATGCCTGTAAAACAGAACTCTGAATTGCATAAGAATGGGCCAAATTTAATATTTCATAGAGAAGAAATACATATTACCTCAATTTCAAAATTGTTTTGACTCGGGTGTGCACATGGCATAATAAAGATATCAATTACATGACCTCAAATAGAAAGAACCACGTCAGCAAGTGTTTGCATTGGAATAGGAACATAGTGGGAATATACTGGATATAAATGAGGGTATTTCTGAAGACGTGGTTATTTCTCTAGCACATACATATACACACACAAAAAAAAAAGGATCTTCGTGACTAGTAAATAGGTGTTAACACAAACATGAGTGCTCAGGCTGTTTGAGCACAACAGGAAGCAAGTCTTCCATCAGGGAGGTTGTTCACTGGTGATATTGCTCTAATGGTCGGGCAAAGTGTTACAAAGAAGCTCCTTCTTCAAGTGTAATGATGACTTCTCAACTCATTTCAATCTAATATTGCCATTGTTCATACCAATATGAAATCTGATTTTTTTTTAACGCTCAAATGACATTGTTTTACCCTCTGTATTAATACTCTGATTTTTTTTACTAAAAATAAATTATTCTTACAAATTTCCTGTCTTCAAAATATAAAATAAAAAAGTAATAATAATGTAGTTTCCTTTACACTAATCTTACAGACTAATTCTAATAACATAAAAGTACACAGGCTAGCATGTTTCATGACCCATACCTAATATTGAAAAATGACATGTATGAAAAATCAAGAGAAAGGAAAGTACTTAGTTAAATAATTAGAAGAGTATTAAAAATCAAGCAGTGTAAAACAATATCAACAGTTTTTCAAAATATACTTTCATCTTACAATTGATATATGATATATTGGAATGATTTTCCTATTCTTTTTACCGACGGCAAGAGAAATTGAGCTTCCAATCCAATACTGAGACTGTAAACCAGCCCTGGAAATAGAAATAGGTCTTGGATTATTTACACAAATAAACACAGGTATGAAATCACAAATACACTACATCAGAAACAATGAAACCTTATTCATATTGTCATGTTATACTTTGAAATTACGCAGAAATCAAACTGAGTAACAAATAACCATGTATCTTCAGTCCCTTTAGTCTGCACATTCAGTAAATCAAACGCATAGAAACTCCACACACTCACAAGGAAAATAACATTTGCAAGAAAATCAACTGTTGTATTCAATATGTGAAAAACAGTATTTATTCCATGATATACATCATGTTTCTTTTACAGATGAACTAGAATACAAATAGATGCAGATTCCTTCCTAAGAAACTATATGAAAGCACATGGTTAAAATCGTTCTCACAAAAAAAATCAGTCTTATATTTCACAATTTACACAAATGTAATTTCCTCAATGATGATCCTTGAGATTAATATCACTGTGCACTTCAGCATTTACCAATTTTTTTCTCTACACTCAACAAGCACAAAAATTCAAGTTTGATGAGTTCTATAAAAATATGACTAGATTCACAATCACAATTTACAAAACAGCAGAACAGGAGGATCACAGATAATTTGCTTTACAAGGCAGGTGATGGTGTACTCAACCTACCAGTTCAACACGGGAGCCAGTAGCTGCCAGACTGGGATGGAGGTAATGTTCATCCCCATTATCTTCTTGACTTTCTGCAAATAAACACATGGTTATAGTTCTTTAACAGAATCAAGTGTTGTGGTGTGTAATCTATTCATAATTTATGTGCGTGTAGCATTTTGTTCTCTAATAACGAATGGGCTATGAAGATGAAACACAGGCACGTACAATGCTCAAAAAAAAAAAAAACCTTATATAGAAGTTTAATTCTGTAATAGAAAAAATTCAAAAATTCAAGTAAGCTCTCAGGCAACACTTCGCCCTATGTTTGCTTCACTACCACTTGCTAATGCTAATGCTGAGTCTCTCTTACATTTTAATACATAAAACTCACGTCATCCAATGCACTCTAATACAATAGTTGAAACAATAATGTTTAACCACTTGCTTAAGAGATTTACAAGAAAATTCTAAGACTAAATAGCAATTGATTCAACAGGCTTCAATGTGTAAGGAAAGACAAAAATGCAAATAAGTGTTCAAAATACGAGTTCTGTTAGTATTGTACACAAGTAGAGCAAACTGAATGAATTTAAAAAATTAGTAAGTGTAATACTGTAAAATAGAAGCAGCATGAGGCCATGAGAGCCATAATGATCTATTCAACTGTTGAGAAAGCTGGAAATAAAACATTATTTAAGTTCAAATACCGATTTGTTAGGCTATGCTGGAAAACGGAATTTAATTTCAGACTAAACGTGCTTCTGACAAGTATTACAAAAAGCCACTTTTCCATCAATCGAAAACTGATCGAAATGTCCGTCCTGAAATTCTTGTATGATTTTTGAGATGTTCAATGAAGATGATCCGTTCAAAATTCTCTTGAAACAAAATGAAAACAATCTCTACCATTGAGTCTAACAATCCCTGGTCATTTCTTTAATTGTGGGAACTATGAATTACAATAATTCCTAATACCAAGGAGCACATTAATTTTCTTTGTTGTTGTTTTGATTTGTTTTTTGCTGATTATTTTCCTTAATTTTACCTCTTTCTGTACACAACAAACATATTATTTATAATTTTAAAAGCCTAATGTTGGTATATTTTTTCAAATGATCTTTCCTAACATGCAGAAATATGCAAAACCTTTACATATTCATAGATCCTCCCAGGATTTGTTATATAACCATCAGTTACTTGCGTTAAACCAACTCAAAAAGAGCTAGGATGATATGATAGCAATGATACTGCTGATGACGTGAATGATAATGGAGAAATGGACAAGGTGGAATGAGAGCAAGGAAACAGAAGAACCCCAAAAAATACATTGAACTTGCTTTGATCCCTATAAATTCCATGTAGATTGGCCAAGGATCAAAATTTAGTTCCAGTAGTGGATGGCATGTATTCTAGCAATTTTACCAGGAGTCCCATCTTCTTTAAGCAGAAGCTGATGGTATAGACTATTTAAAGAGGTGTTGTTGTTGTTTACGATGATACGCGCTGAGTAAAAGTTGCAAAGTCAGATGTTGCGCACAGATGAATGAAGACTTTTCAGTGGATGATTGCCAGGCAAAACCTTGCATTCAAAATACCAAGAATTGAATAGTCCATACCATTTTCATTTGATTAAAAATGAGTGTACTAATGTCAATGAATTAGCTTTTTCTATTCCTTTCCATTCTTTTCTTTTTTAAAATGCAAGAAGCAACTCTCTTAGCAGATTTACACATTTTATTAATTTGTTTAAGATCATCACTAGTATTTAAAGAAGAAAATTCTCTGAATAAAAATTAATTGACCAACTGACTCCAGTTCCAAAAAATCAAGTAGGTACAGTTCAGTTTCCAGTAAGCCCTACTGAAATTCACTTTCAGTTATTTTTCATGTCTTATTGCCCAAAAATGCTCATTTTTCACAAGTTCACAATCAGAAAAAAATGTTAACTACACAAAGGGCAACAAATAAATCTACGAAAATAAGAAATTATGTACATTTAGGAAGATAAAATTTTAAAAAATTAAGGTATTTTTACCTTTCACATATTTGAAATCACTTTATTAAGAAACCTACTAATGTTAGATGTTTGGGAAGATCTGGTCGTCAGATGTCACTAAAAGTGGAGTAAATGTTCTTTTACTTATATCAATTCTCCAAAATTGCTTGATATGTGCTTTCCCAACTGCTAGTTCTAGAGACTTTCTGTGGAAATGTCAAAGGCTAGCTCATGGCAGTAAATCTATTCTCTCAGAGCTAGTGAAAGTTTTAGTTACTTCAACCTGTTAAAAGTGAAAGCTAAAACGTTCTCTCATTATTAAGACATTTGTGAGACTGTAATACAAAATGAGTTGTGACAGAAAATCTTATCCTCACTGTCACATGAAATCACATACTAACAATCATGGTAGCACACCCGCCCATGCACACACACAACAAAACCAACAACTACAACATTAAAAGTTCCAACTTAAATGTTAGCCATGAGCATCACTTTCATCGATGGTTTAAAATTGTTGTTGGATTTTTTATTTTGTTTTGGATAACTATTATTCTCGTTTTTCTTTCTGAATTATTGAATTTTTGAGAATGAAATTTAAAAATAATAATATTGATTCCTTACCCTCCTTAGGTTGAGAGGATGCGAGAGGCTGGTACCGTCCCGCTTTTATAGCACCCAAAAGGTGCCTGTAGTAAGGATGTAGAGGAGCATCGTATGACAGAAACAGGAACTGGGGGTTGTTGGCCTGCTTCATTTTAAGAAGTATTTCCATCTGGGGGCCTTGTTTGCTTATAAACAAGGCTGTCTTCTCAATAATTGCATTTAGTTTCACTGTATCAGGCTACCAAAAGAAAAAAAAAAGGGTTTTTTGCTAGCCAAAAAAAAAAAAAAAAACTAATCCCCACTCAACTTCAACTTTACATCAAATACTTACAAGAATCATTCCCACTGGAATATCAAGTTCTGTAGGAGCAACAAATATTTCATCTTCCTCCGGATCTTCTGTAGACATTACTTCCCCATCACCTTTCTCTTCAGGCTTTCCATTGGCTTCATCGTAATCGAAAGCCACTTGCCCATAGGCATTATTTCCCAAGGCTTGGTGCAATCTTTTCAATTCCTCCTCTGAAAATTAAGTCTAATGAATGCACAAGCAATAAATAAACAGTACATTGTAAAAATAATAATTTTGAAAAGAATGAAGAAAAGAAAGCTAGTCCAGATGGGTAAAGCCACTAAGTCAGACCCAACTAAATCAGTTCTCAGGGCCACTGATTTGCGTCCTGCTTAGAGCATGGAAGTTTGTATTTGTATGTATAGGTGAACTCTAGAGATAACAAAATAAAGAGAAAAAGCATCAAAGCCATTTGTCCTATGAATATAAACACACTGACACAAACATCTTAGACATTGTATGAGGCTGAAACAAAAGAAAAATAAATAGGAATCATGAGAAACCAAAATTGCAGCAAAAGAAACATTTTAATTACCCTTTGAAGAACACTCAAATTTTAACAAGTCAAATTTATTTTTCTTACTCTTGTCCTTAATTAAAGTTTCAACATGTTCACACATTTTTAAGACTACCTAAGCTACATGCACAAAAAATCATTTTCAAGCAAATTATTTTGTTTATTGGAGCCTGTAACCCAATTTGATGGAGATATTAGATATATAAACATTTAATTAGATATGTAAATATATAATTAATAAAGTTTAGAAGCTTCACACCATGCCACTCCTAATAATCCTATAACCATTTTGTCATGCTACACGATTTGAAACATACTGAGCAAAACACCCATATAGTTTCCGAAAAATGAAGTGCAGTTTTGATATTAAATATGATTTACAAGTGAACCTAAATACAGAATATTTTTCTAATAGTTCTTTTAACTTCATCTAAAGAACCGAAATTAAGCAATATTCACAATCCGCACACCAAAACCATTACTTGAGACTTCAGAATGTTCTTCCCACTTATGTATTTCACACTCCTGAAGCAAAAATGTATCTTTTCATCATCATGAAAGTAGATGCAAAAACATGTAAGACCTTGTGAATGACAGACGTTTTCATTACTTAGAGTTGTTGAAAAAAAAAAACATAGTCGGTATTCAAGAGAAACTCGTTAAATTATTTTTGAAGCTTTTGAGTTATTTACATCACTAAGTAAATTTTTTTCTATTCTTCTGGTTGGTAAAATCTCTGAACTCCTACAACTTGGTTATAAGACTGTTTTAACAGTCGCAGAACAGTAAAATTTACTTAATTTTTTTTTAAAAGCATTATTATATATTAAAGTAAGAGTAAAAGAAAACCCTTTTTATCCCTTTCTACAAAAAGATAAAGACAAATATGCAGACAAATTTAACAGAATCAATTTCACTTCGGTTTTAAACTTATTGAGTTTCACTTTTATACCAATATGTAAAAATGGATGTAATTCAGAAGCCTGCCCTCTTCTAAACTTGCACACCTTTCTGATGTAACTTGTAATATTAATTCCACAGCAAGAAATCTCTGGCTGTACCATGCACCCCTTGAAGTATAGGGAAGTCATTCCCCCACTAGCTTTGCTAAAAACCTGATTAAGACGCACAATGACACAACAACTTAATGGATAATGCTTTTTTAGATTACAAATAAGATTAGTTTCAAAAGAGTTGGGAGAAAATCTTAATAAAATCTTAGAAAAAAAATGAAATGTTTAAGATTTTATTTTCAGGCACTCTACATAAACTTGTTTCTTCCCTAATATTCAAGAAAACTTTTGAGTAAGTATTTTACATTATCTGTTAAAAATTAATGTTATAAAAAAATTGAAAAAAAAAAGGGATAACATGTTAAAAAAATAACTATTGATGAAGAAACATCAACAATTCTGAAGATATTAATGCAAAATTTTGAATAGACAGGATTTCAATTCAGATACACAACAAAATTCAAAACTTCAATTCAACATTAACACACTATAACGAAATAAAACAAAAAGCAAAGAATTTCAAAAAAGCTTTCATGCATTCTAATCAGAATTACACTTACTTTGTATTAGTCAATTTAATCTCAAATGCTATAGAAACAATGATGCTGCAGAAAAGATTTGACTCCTTTTTTTTGTGCAATACATTTAAGCTTCTAATATTGTGGGGTAAAGGTTTAGACAGAATAGTTCAAGAATTCTGGTGATGTGCTGCTGATATTAAAATTAAATGAAAAATTACTTTGTCCTCATCATCATCATTATTATGTGAAACATATTCACCCTAAAACCTAGAGTTTTAACTGCATCCTCTGAGAAATATTTAATAAAGCATATGCAACAATATTGTGTAACTCTATAGTAGTAGTTCAGAACATTCTTTAGCAATTCTAAAACACCACACAAAATAGTACAGGCAACCATACTTCTTCATGACATTTACAGCGTAGAATAGTAGTAAATCAACAGCACCATGCTCTGAGGATTTCCACAACCAGAAGAAAAGAGGATTAAGGCAAACACTCCATATTGATTTTCAATAAGTTTCTTTTGGCTTCCAACAAAAAACAAAACCAACTACAAACACCTTTCTGTCAACTCTCTCCCAGGGTCAGATTACCGACATGCAAAATAAGCAATTGCTTGCTCCCTTCCAATAAGGGCTCCTCACCCCCCTCGCCAAAATGACTTACAATATTTTTGTATTACTCAAAATGCATTTGTTTACTTGAAGTAACTGTTAATCAAATAGTAAAATAAACTAAAAAATATAATATTTTTCTTTTTAATTTTTTTAGTAAATCTGGAAAATGAATTCCTAAAGGGCCCCCCAATTTATTAAGCTTAATTCTCTTGTTCAAGCACAAGAAAACACAGTTCAGAACTCTGAGAGATCAAAAAATTTGGAGTGCCTAACAACTACTATCCCAACGCATAAGAAACCAGTTAAACAAGTTATCAAAAGTTCACATGACTCAAAACACACTAAATGTGAACTTGCTTAGCATGGTAAATTAGTTGGAAATTCAAGAAGACAAGTTAATCAAGAAGTTTTCTGTTTTATTTACACAAGTGCAGACAAAAAGTGTTGCATTAGATGTGGTCTTCTAGGAATTCAAGCAAGTATCCATTTTTATGTTATCATTGTGCAGATACTGCAAAGTGAGAATAGTACACAATTGTAAATTTTAGCTTCTAACACATAGGGTCCAGACAGTTACTTAGAAGCTCCCTTTGTCCGTTTTGTTCTGCTAATTTTCTTATATCCTTCCCTCTGGGTACTCCTTAAAATAGGGACTTCACACACTGTATTAACCTTTTCTTCTTCACAAACTTTCCTTAGAAAAATCTTTTGAAATTGCTTTCATGGTCCTTAATTCATCAGGTTAGTAAAATTTATACTACTATTCTTATAATGCAAAAAGTGCTTATTCTCGAAATTATTTTACTATTCACATAAATTCAAACTATTGATTCCATTTCCCCCACTTTTTTTTAATAAAATAAAATTATTACATATTGCTCTCTAAAGAAAGCAGAGGGAGAATTACTGAAAACCAAAAATGTTCAAGAGTTGGTCTTTTGATGAAACAATCACAAAACCCTAGAGACACTAGAAAAAAATGTAATAAGCAAGCATAAAAACTTACCTTGATATAATGCCTCTTCTTCTTCATTGTGGTTAAGAGCCCTATACCTTTCTTCATCACAAAGTTGTTCCACATGACGTTCAGCTTCTGATAATCCCACCCACCAATTTTCATCATGACCACCAGGCAATGGTTCACACTGTTTTAAGTCATATAAAGCCCCTCGTCCATCATACCTAGAACCATTAATAAATTAGAAAAATATTTACATTAATAATAATCATTATCTACATTAAAGGTAACCACATAGATGTTTTTGTCAAAGTACAAGGTTATACACATTAGTTATCATTACAATAAAAAAGACGTATAATTGCATTTATAGGCTTTGCTTTTTATTTTTTCAACCTGTCAATTTTCAATGCTTCATCGCCCATCCAAGGTATAAGATGTTTTCCTTGATCAATGTAGAGGGCTTTTTCATCGTCTCGGAATAGTTTGCACGAATATCCAAAAACCAGAAGTTCTTCTTCATCATTTTCTTTCTTCCTTAGTATTCCAGAATCACTACATTGCCAAGGTTGTCTAGTAGACGCCATTTTATCTGCAAATTTTATAGTTTATGTTTTATTTCACTCTCAAGAATTAGCACTGCTGCTGGTATCACAATCCCACATGATCGCGAAACCATAACTCGATACACCCGATAATGCCGTCAGAAATGCCCGATATGCAGAAGTTGCCCGGTAGGGGCGACAGCGACTGATTTCGTTTGAACACAAGAACGGCAACACAGGCGTTGATAGTAGATAATAGCTCACCTGAAGTGTTGTTTAATACACGGGAATGTCAATAAAAGTCTTTTGGAAGCAATATTAGTATTGCATATATGTTATTGTAGACATTTAATTAAAGTGTTTTTATTTTCAGTGAAGATGGTAAGGTCAAAAATGTTGCATTGCAGATCCTTGTGATGTTCGGCAGTCAACTAATCAAATGCGAGATATTTCTTGTAATTACCATGGTAACGACGCTTTCATCATTGCCAAATTGCAACATCTCGTATCACAACACGTAAAGTGTGAGAAAATGTAAACATTTTCCATAAAATTTGATAACTTTTTGCAACTTGAAAACATGCATAAAATGTGTACAAAGTGGGTAATAAGTTAGAAGAGTACAGAAGTGTATAGCAGCGTGTTTGAAGATCCGAAATACTTAAATAATACACAAGAATGCGTGTATTAAGTAGAATGTTGATAAGTTGATAAAAGTTTACGCGAATAGATCTCGTTACAATTACGAGATCGTAAGATCAAATGTGTAAGATATATATATGTTAGAAACGCCCAAAAGTCTGAACATTCAAACGGACAGGTTATGAGCAATACATGTCATTTTTAAGTCATCGATTTTTAAACATCACTGCGTCTTCTGTATAGTTTGTAAAGCTTTTTAACACTGCAACAATGTCGTCTCACCCCAGTACAACTGAGGAAATAAAAACGGTAGGAGACTTGCCGGTGGAGAAGATTGACAAAACAGGTAATGACAGTGATTTTGATGTTGTTAGAAAGAAATGCCTATGACTAATTAATTATGTTTTTCAGAAGATTACCGCATTTATGCAGCAATTTCTTATTTTGTCATTCTTATTGTAATTGGCTTACCATTATGGTGGAAGACTACAGAAGTTTATCGAGTTCCTCTCCCATACACAAGAATCGCAGCCCTAAATGAAAGTGATTTTGTTTTAGTTACTAATGTGACAATTGCATCTTTGGATATTGATAGAGGAAAACAGCTAGCCAGTGATTTGGATAACTTCTTTAAGACTTCTAGTTAGTTCCTTAATTTTTTGTATGGTATTCTATTTATTTACATTTTTGTCATTATGTTGTAAGGAAAAAATGCTATAATTTTTCTGTAATTTGTTTTTTTTAGAGTTATTTAAAGTTCATTTTGTGGTCACACAAGTTCAGAAGCAAATTCTTGCTTCTGCTCAAAGCATTCAATCTCTGGAATTGAGTTCTGTCAGTCGCAGGCAGGCAGGAGATATTTTATTACTGGAAGTTCCAGGACTACCGCGTTTCACTCCGAGCCAAGTACTGGTTGGCAGGCGAAGAATTGTTTATTTTGCCACTGATACAAGTGAGTAAAACTTTACCTGTTATATTTTTGATAAAGTAAATATTTTTATGTAGGGATGATTTTTTCTGTATATTATAGACAATTTTATTTTGTTTGAAGATAAAGCAAAGATGTAATCTGTTAAACAAATATGTAAAAGGAGTAAGTTATCATTGTGTCAGCAAGACAATACATGTTCTTTAATTTTATCTAAACTTTTACATAAACTTATGTTTGTTTAACCCATTAACATCAGGTACATTCCAACATTCTTCCATTAACAATTAATGAATTTTGGGATTACTGAAATAGGAGGAAATTGAGACTTACCTGGAAAAATTGGTCATATACTGAACATACATTCATATTTCTGCAGGTTCTGTGAAATTAACAGAGGTTCTTCAGCAGTGGCTATTCCAAGAAGAAACTCTACAACGAATGATCTCATCCATGGTCTCCCCAACAAAGTCAGAACTTGATTTAGCTGGGCGGCGGCGGATGCCCACAGCTTCAGCTTATGATGTCATGGTTACTATAGTGAATCCTGATCCAGAGAAAGTGCAGTTAAACTGGGATTTGCAGGAAGCAATTGAAAGTGAGAAATCTGCTGTGAATGTTTTTGTTACTGATTATATTTTAAATAATTTCTTGGAAATCTTGCCTGATTTGACAGAGCTGTAGTCTAAATTTCACAAGGGTATTTTAAATAGGAAGTATTTTTAGCTTCAGTATATTCATCTTTAATATATTTTATGCCCCACAATTTCAGCAAATTGTTGAGACATGAGACATTTACTGAAAATTGAGCGTATGAATGTACTTCAGACAGCATCATCACATTGGAAAATGTTTTTAGTGCATTTTAATTCACCTACATTTTATCCCCTACTTACTCACATCAGTAGCATATGAGTTAAAAATATGAACATATTTTTTAAGCCTTTATTTCTGTTTTGGTGTGATCATTGTCTTTCTTTTTTTCTGTGATGGAATCAACAATGACAATGGTACACATTTTTTTTATTCTTGAAATGAAAAAGTATTCAACTGATCAAATGTCAAAATTATTTATCAACTGTGTAAAATACCAAACTAAAACACAAACTTGGCAAATGTGATATTTATTCCAATTTTAAATATTCACATTGTGATGAAGTATATGTAAGGAAATTATTTTCCATAATAGATTTCCTGTCTCCGTTTCTGAGGAATTTGGCTCCGCTTGCGGATTATAATGTGAAGTCTCAGTGGCTGTACTTCGTGCCACTGCAAGTACAGCCCAAACTAGTGCCTGAACAACCTGGTATGAGAAAACATTTTGCACTTTCTGAAGAATTATTGCCTCATATAATAACTCCCTTGGAGAAGAAACTTGGTGAGTTGTTCTTCAGATTTACTAAATACTTGCAACTAGTTAAAAGTAAGTTTAGACTATTGTATACTAAGTTTCTTTATCGTATTCTGTCCTTTTTTTCATTTTCTGTACTTTTCCTCTCTTGAATTTAAATAAATATATTAGAGTGCCTATTAAGTCACATACCAGTTGGGTTGGGAATCAATGTTGTGCACCAACGCATTTTTTTCCCTTCATATTTGATAGGTGATAGTTTCATTTCTTATTGTATGTTCACAAAACCAATGGAAATCATCTGCCAAAAACAAACATTCATGAGTTTTGCGAAAAATGTTAACTCATATTTTTTCTCAGTAGAAATACCATTTCCTCCTTTCATCTAACAATAGTGCATTGTTAGGCATTATCGAAGTTATGATCAGTGGATGGCTTGGACTTGTATGTTGTAAATTTTGATCAGAATTCATTTCATCTTGTCATATTTGATTACTAAAAAACATTGTGCCTCTACTCATGTTTCAAAGATATAAGTTATTCCTCTTATTTACCACCATTTTCCCTAGGGTCCAATGAAAAGTGTTAAAAGAGCCCGTTTTACTGTATGTTGTAAACACCTCTAGCATTAGTTATAAAAGATTGTAAAATTTTCCTTCAATTATATTGCATTTATTCTGTTCTATGATCCGCTTGTTCTTTGCACTTCTAATTGATTTGTTCATTTTCAATTAGCACTGACTAGTTGTATGTTCTTGTTTCAGCGTTTCACAGTGTCCCAGGAACCCATGTCTTAATTTGTTTGTATATGTACCTCCTTGTTCGGGAATCACCTTGTATATTTATCGTCAAGAGGTGTAATACTTCGAGTCAGGAGGGAAGGTTTGAAAGTTTTTTTTAAATTGCCATTTTTTTTTTTCTAAAAGTTTTTCCTCCACGTTGGGGGAATTATTTATTCACAATCCACCACAAGACATATGTAAATGCAAACTGTAAGTTGAACCTTTAAACCTGTTGAAGCCTGATGTCCCAAAATTATGGAACTTTCTTGGCGCAACTTCGATTGTAGTAGGTGTACCAGAATTGGTAAGTATGTCTTTGTTCCCTTTGTTTTAACTTATAGGTATAGATGCTGATTTATACAATGATATATATATATATATACTATATATATATATATATATATATATATATATATATAATAATATATATATATATATATATTATATAATTATATATATATATATATATATATATATATATATATATATATATATATTATATATATATATATAATATAGATATATATATATATATATATATATATATATATATAATATATAAATATATATATATATATATATAATATATATATAATATATAATATATATATATATAAATATATATATATTATATATATATATATTATATATATATATATATATATATAAAAATGATTAAAAAGTGTGTACTTTGAGGGTTCTGGCGGCTTTGCAGTTTCTCTTTTTTAATTTGAACACCAATAATGATTTCTAAGAACTTTGATTTGACAGGATGATATCCAAGATTTCAATGCTACAATTAGCTGGCTTCAGGGATGAGGCAATGGAGATTGGATTTCATGTATCGTGTTCGAATTAATGGAAACCAACCTCACCTCAGCTATGCTACTCTTCGGTAGCTCTAATATGTTTGAAAAATATTCTGTTCTTGAAAGAGTGGTGCAAAAAGTGTATTTGCAGTATTTGAAAATTGTGATTTCTTGCTGAATGAATTGCAAACAAAAAATAACTATACCATCACAAATAATTACAATCATTCATCGATCTGAAGGAATGTGGGCAGTCATTTAAATTACTACTATTAAAGTTTTCTATAAATATGCTTCTCGTTTTGTCATTGAAGCTGCGCACTGCTGAAATATATGATTCTACACAAACAAGATGCAACACAAAACATACAACATAATGTTATTCATAATTAATTATAGTATGAGGAACACGATGATATGTATGCAGATTGCACATTTACACAAGCGCAAATAGTAAAGCGAAGAAGAAAAAAATATTGTGTGATTCCATGTTGGATGCGTCTAGTTGCAATAAGACTAATCCCAAAAATTAGAAATTGGCAATGTTGGGGAACACCAGAATTGTTTATTAAGCATGTATACTTCTTCTTGTTGAATCCACCCAAATTTTTTTAGGCAAATTGATTTTTTACTTGGCTTGAAATTCTTGTTTTAGTATCATTCTAATCTCTTAAATAATGCCACCAATTCATTAATATAATCATATTTATTAATGTCAATTTAAAAAGAATTGTATTCGGCAAACTATCCAAATGACAAAAATACTTTATTAATGCTTTTCTGCTTATACCTGAATATTTTTCAGAAATATCTTAATTGTCTATATTAATTTTAGTTATTTAATGGAATTTTTAATGTTAAATTTAGTTATTTCTATGGATTATTATTTTTTATATCTTATGGTTTTTGTTGTATTTTTTTCAGTCTTTTTCTTCCAATTGCTTGGAGAAATTACAACATAGTGATGTTAGGGTGATGAGGTTGGAGATTCAATTCAAGAGCGCTGTGAGTGCTTTGAGAGAGGAATAGAATTACTGCACCAAGGAAACTTGCTTGCTGACATTTGAAGGCTCTAAGGCAAGCATTTTGTCAGCTGAAGCTTGATTCACAGATCCATCTCTTCTTGCTTTGTATACTTCCAGATGATCAGAAGTATGTTCCCTAAGTCCAATATTGCTTGCTTTAATTAATTATAAAATTTATTTGTATGTGGCAAGGATAAAAGGTAGATTTTTAAAATTAGAAGTTTTCCCAAAGTAGTTCTTGAGGTTTGATTGCGACCACATTTCTGCTCTCAGTTCGCCTTTTTTTCTCACAAAATGAAACATGATCAGGATGATTACAGTCCGTGATTAAAAATCATGTTCTAGTGTATTGCCGACAAGTATGAATTTTACAATTTTTTTGTAATACTTTCAATTTTTTCATTTCCAAATTAATGAAACCAAATTTTTGCAAAAATTAGCCATAATATAACAATTCTGAAAACTGTTTTTTTGCCGTATTCTGGATTCCTAATAAATAAAAGAAATATAACTGTGTGTGTGCAATTACTGCTATAAAGAAGAAAAAATATGCGATCAGAGATTGTTAATGAGTGGTTGAATGTCCTGTCATTCACATTTTTGTTTCTTCAAAATAATTCCAGTTCATATTTATTTCAGCACTTTTTCTTATACCTCTTTTTCTTATGTGTGTTCATCCTCAATATTTTTTGATATCAAACTGTTAAGAGAAACTATATTGAACTTATTACAGATAATTTAACAAATTCCAAATTTAAATTGAGTTTCATATGATATATGAATGCAAAAATTGGACTGAAACTAAAATTAAAAATACTTTTTTACAAGATATGCCATGTACATTCCTCTTTTTCTACCAGTCATGATACCAGTATTAATGTCTCTGAAAAATATATATCTTGTGGCCAGCATTCAAAAGTTCGTCACAAAGGAAAAAGAAAGTAAGAATTAAGGTTTCAAAAAAGTATGGTATGTTCTAATTTGAGCCATAAGAAATAAAATATATTTCCAACCACCTTATTCTGTTGTTTCTTTCAAATACCCAGAGTGGTGTGGCAATTGTTACTTTACCCATAATTAATGGTGTGGTTAGAGGAGAGAAGGTAAAATGAATTCATTATTGAATGACTTTGACATTGAATTGCCACTGAAGAAAGAGAAATTTAGAAATCGATAATATGCAAAGATTAATAAATATTTCGATAGATTAATGACAACCACACGCAACTCAATGCCAAGAGGTGAGGTGGGTAAGATATGATTCAGAGACTATCGTTCTAAGAGCTGTTAAGCAGTAATGGATCCCTACCCGCTGCGTTTGTATTGTCGATCGCTACCAATGTGTGCAGATCTTAGTGTTCAGCCGAGGTTTCGCAAACAATTATTATCTGTTTCTCCCTAAATTATGGACGGTTTCAAGTAGTTACAGTTTTGGTAACTAGTGCTCATGAGCTTGAATGTCAATGCTTTTTGGACAGCAGTGCTAATCCACAGGAAGACCAGGGGAAACTTACGGTTTTTCCTAAATCTAGATTTGTCTCAGTTTGATATCCAAGTCTTAATTACTTTCTAAACATACCCAACTGTTCTATGAACACATTGTCCTTTAGTGTTTTTAATTGCGTTTTTCGTCCGAAAATCGTGAGGAATTATAAGATCTCAAATTTTGGACATATGAACGAGGCGTGATTCACTATTGCTTCAAAGTTTCTGTTTATCACAAGAGAATATGGATATCAATTTTTTGCATAGCTTTGTAAACAGGCAAAGAAAGTTTAATGATATAAATTTCATTGACATGTAAAATATATTTCCAAAGCAATAAACAAATACATCTTCAGCTCTATAAGTTACAAAGTAATCTTCAACTGTATGCCTAAACAATACTTCTGTTGATTGGCAAAAATTAAAAGGTTCTAGTTGAAAATTATGTAGTTGCTATCTGTAAATACATTGTATGATGAACTGATAAATTTCAAAGACTGAATTAATGCACGGGTTTACAAGGTAAATAAACCAAAACTAGTTATGTCCTCATCATTGGCATTTAACTCCGATTCCAAGTAAGAAAATATTCAATTATTAAATTTTAGTCCATTTACCGCATAGTTTATTGCCTAAACAGAGCAGTAATAAAGGCCTGAAAGGCTTTGTTCAGTGTGCTTCAAAATAAGAATTCTCTACGTTCTACACAAGTTTGAAATCAGATTCACATAAATTTAGACAAAAACGGGAAAATTACGAGGAGAAAAATAGTAAAAACACAACAGAACCAAGAATAATTTTGAAGTCAAGACACCACCCTGGAAACATTCGGTGAAGCACAATTCACTCAAAAATGCAAGCTACTTAAAATGGATTTGTGTTACAGATAGAATCGCAGACTAGACTTGAAAAAGAAACTATCACAAAAACAGCTAAAAGACCATAAAAAGAACCAGAAAATGATCGCTCT